TTGTCTTCGTCACCGCTTCGCCACCCGGCCGTGACCAGCCTGCATCTCTCAAGTTCATCCCTGCAGAGCTCTCGCAGGGCGAGAAGCAGCCGGAGGTGAGCTGAGAAGCAGTCCCAAAAACATGTTGCTTCTCCAGGAACGTGCTGACGGGTTGCTCTGCCTGCTGCAGGATGGACAGCAGTGGGATGGCCGCCTGCACCTGGCGCTGAATGGCAAATCCTTCGCCGTGCTTCAGGAGCATTTTGCTGACCTGCTGCCCAAGGTGTGTCCCATCCCCATCCCCATCCCATCTGTGGGGTGTTGGTCACTGGGACTGAGCCATCCCCTCCCTGCAGATTCTTGTCCAAGCCACTGTGTTTGCCCGCATGTCACCCGAGCAGAAGACTCAGCTGGTGTGCAGCCTGCAGGAGCTCGAGTGAGTGCCCCAGCCCTGAGGGTTGGGGGACAGTGGGGACACTTCTTGGGCCATTTCCTGGGCACTGGAGGTTTTCTCAGTGTGCTGATGACATCCTGCCCTTTCCCCAAGCATCCTAAACACCGAGGCTTGACCTGGAAGTCCTCAAATCCCACTGTGTCACTGTTACGAATCCACCTTTTCTGCTTCTCCCCCAGCTACTGCGTGGGGATGTGTGGGGATGGGGCCAATGACTGCGGGGCACTGAAGGCAGCTGATGTGGGCATTTCCCTTTCGGAGGCTGAAGCATCCGTGGCATCACCCTTCACCTCCTGCCACGCCAACATTGAGTGTGTGCCCACGGTCATCCGGTGAGGGGAGAACCCACGGGGGTTTCTCAGCACCTCCATCCCCTCTTTGGGATGGGATTTGTGGCAGGGCTGTGTTGTCGTGCTGATGGTGGTTCTGCCTGCAGGGAAGGAAGGTGCTCGCTGGTCACCTCCTTTGGGGTCTTTAAGTACATGGCCCTGTACAGCCTGGTGCAGTTTGTGTCCGTGCTGCTGCTCTACACGGTGAGTCCATCTGTCTTGGGGATGGGATGCATCAGCAGGGCCTTGGGAGGACCACTCTGCATCCATCAGCAATACCCAGGGATGCCTGGGCCTTCCCTACTTCTGATTTTTATCACACCATGTGACCCCCCCAATGTTGAGGGCATTCCATTTCTCCCTCCCAGATCAACACCAACCTGAGTGACTTCCAGTTTCTCTTCTTCGACCTGATCATCACCACCACTGTGGCTGTGCTGATGGGCCGCACGGGTCCTGCCAGGGAGCTGGGAGTGCGTCGGCCCCAAGGGGCACTGATCAGCATCCCAGTGCTGGGCAGCCTGCTCCTGCAGACCACTCTGCTCATCACTGTGCAAGTCCTCAGCTACTTCATCACTGTTTCACAGAGCTGGTACGGGACCTGGCGCTGTGGGTTTGGCCATGGGGATGTCGTTGGCCAAAGTCAGCTTGGATGATGCCGGCCAAAGCCGAGGGGGTTGGCATTAAAAGTCAACTTCAGTCATCACACCGATCCTTTGTGTTTATTCTTTAGGTATGTGCCACTGAACAGCACAGTGACAGCTCCCCAAAACCTGCCCAACTATGAGAACACGGTCCTCTTCTGCATCACTGGCTTCCAGTACCTCATTTTGGCCGTTGCCATGTCCAAGGGGTACCCATTTCGGGAGCCGCTCTACACCAATGGTGAGGCCATGAGCAAGGGGAGACCCCGATCCTTCAGCTCCTTTCCCCCGACCCTGCAGCTCCTGCCCCAACCCTCTTCTTTCTCGCCCTCAGTGCTCTTTCTGATAGTCCTCGTGCTTCTCTTCGGCCTCTTGATATGGTTGACCCTGTACCCTCTGGGTTTCCCCAAAACCCTGCTGAAGCTGCAGGACATTGATGACTTGAACTTCAAGCTGCTGCTGTTGGGAATTGCCACGCTCAATTTCTTCGCTGCCTTCGTGCTGGAGGTGGGTAGCAAAGCATTGCACTCAGGGGAGTTTTAAGACCACCATCCTCATGGATCTATCCAAGAAACCCCCCCGAAACTTGTTTTAATTCTATCTTTGCTGTAGACTGCCCTGGACTACGGATTGCTGGGCTGCTTGCGTAAGCTGCGCCAGAAGAAAGCATCCAGCAAGCTGTTCAAGAGGCTGGAGAAGGATCTGAGCCAGCAGCCATCCTGGCCGCCCCTCAACGAACCACTCTTTGCTACCCCTCGGATGTCCATCGCTGTCAGATAGCACACACCAAACTTCACTCCTCCCTGCTCTGCAGGGGAGCACCGCACTCCTGTATTTATTTCTCCTGGTCCCACTGAGGGCAGCTGGTGCCTGGCTCCGTGTCCATCCCATGGGATGCAGCATGTAGATGAAAATGGTCCCATCTTCCCAATGGGGAGACCCTCAGCCTCACAGCCACGAAGCCATGTGCTCCAGAAACCACACGCTTGGTCCTGTGGCCCCAAAAGAAGTGGTGGGAGATGCTAGAGATGAAAACTCGGGGGTCCATCTGGGGGTGCCGCCTGCCTTCTGCCTCCAGCACCGAGCCCTCGTGGCTGGTCAGAGCTGTGAATTTAAAGGGTCCTGCTTGTTGGTGGCACCCACTGTGGCCTCAGGGCTCTGCTCACTGTGAAGGAAACCTCCCTCCCTCCCTGCTGGCCACCTCGATGTGTAGGAAATGTTTACAAACCACTCCAGCTTGCCAAGGACGTTCTGAGCCAGCTTTCAGCAGCGAGGGGCTTGGAGAATCCAATGCAGAGCCCAAACCCTTATTGCACCTCATGCATTTTTGCCCTTTGGTCCATCAGAGCAGCTGGAAGGGCATCCATCCACCCCCTTCCAGGTCAGTGGGAGGTTTTGGCATGGGACCTCAGCACACTGGTGATGCTTCTGCATGGCCTTCCAGCTGTGCCAGCAGGAGCTTTGTAGCATTAAAACCCCCTCAAATCTCTATTTTTATTTCTATTTTTAACTCCATTCCAATGCATAAAGGGGTGGAGCAGGGTGTAGCACTTCTGGATTTCACATGGGTCTGGTGTGAGCACGTCTAATAAATTAATGCTATTTTCGTGAGAACGCCGTGAACCTCTGGGCAGGAGGATGGTGGAGGGAGGGCAGTGGGTCAGGGTGCGATTTGGGGTCATTTTCTTCTCCATTGGGGCTGGAAGATGCTGTAGAAGCAGAGGGAACCACTGGGATGTCAGAACAGGCAGGAGTTGACTTTGGCCAACGCCATCCCCAGTGTGTTTCCAGCTGGAATTTGCTAGCAAAAAAAAAAAAAAAAAAGAGAAATTAAAAAATATCTATATAATTGCTGGAAAAAAAGGGAAAAAAAAAAAGCCAGGTGTCCTTGCCAAAATGTCTCTCCGTGCAAAACCGCTCATCGCCCAGCCTGTCTCCCTCCAGCACTGGTGTATGGAAGGCGAAGCCTGCAGCTGGAGGTGCTGTGTCTGGCATTGGGAATGCCAGCCTCTGCAGGTGGGGAAGGGGAAGGGGCAGCAGGGTCGGGGGCTTGGCTGTCTCCAAGCATGGGATGTGGCGAGGCGTGAGCCCCCTCGAGCACAGAGCGGTGCCTCTCTGCCCTCCTGGAGCTAGGGATTAGGTCAGGAAATGAGGCACAAGCAGAGGTAAGAGGTTTCCTGAAATCCTAGCCAGGGCTTGAGCTATTAAAGCAGGCTTCCTGAGCGGAGGGCGGGGGGTGAAGGGGGGGGAGAAACCCGTCGAGAGTTTGCCTCGGCCCTTGCCAAGTGAAAGCGCCTGGTGGCTTGAAAAGCAAAAGGAGGGGGGAAGCGACGCGCTGCAGCCCTGACACAACCCCCAAAGAACCCATCTGTGCCCTCCCAGCATCGCTGACCCCACTGGCACCGTTGGGATTGGAGCCATCCCTTCTGCTCAGCACCGACGTGGAGCTCCTGGGGGGGGGAACCCATCTCCCAAATTCCCATTGGTGCCATGCTTTGCCCCCTACCCCCCCCTCCCCTCCCCCACCTGGCTTTGGGGTTAACAGTGCTGTAAATCATGCCTAATTATGAAGCTGCTGCCCCGGGGACGAGGCTTGGAGGAGGCAGGAGTTCAGTGGGAGGTGTGATCAGAACCTCAGATTTAGCCACAATCCAGGTGTTAGGATAGGAAAAAACAGGCTTGGGGAGCGCCCTGCACCCCCCACTTGCTCTCTCTGGTTTGAAACTGGATTTTCTGCTTGTTTTTAGAGCAGCAGCAGCGCTCACAAAGGAGGAATAGCCCATAGCTATCCCCTTCCCCATTGAGAAATGATGCCGACCCCCCGTGTCTGAGCTCCAAGCCCTCAGCTCCCCTTCCACACCGTTCCATTGCTTTGAATCTCACCTACAATCTTTAGGTTTTGGCCCAGAGCGCTGCAGCTGATGTTGGTGGGGGGGTGAGCACAGAGCATGCATTCCTTGGTGTTCCCATCACCCTCCAGCAATGGGAGCATCCCACGCTGCCCTGCTGAGAAAGGGGAAATGGGGGGAAGGGGGGGAGAGGGGAAGGTTTTGCACCCCCCAGGGTAAAGCTGCACCCAGCAATGGGAGCTGCTGCACCCACCTCCTCCTTCATGTCCCTGGGAAGGGGGGGCTCACCCTAACAATTAAACACTTGCCCCATTTTGCACCCCCACCCCCAATCTGATGTATGTGTGTGTGTTAATGGGGGGGGATTGTTTGGGGTCACCCTTTTTTCCCATCCTCCAACAAGACGAGATGATTCCTGTGCCCCAAAGTGCCGCTCAGCGCCGCTCGAAGCCTCCCCTCACTTCTGCTGTCGGGTTAAAAGCCAAAGGGATTTAAAAACCAAACAAACCAACCCAAAAACCACCCAAAATCCCCGAAGTTTTGCAGAGCTCAGCGTGCACCCATTGATTCTTTTTTGGATTATTCCCGTTTCCTCCCCAGCAGGCAGCACATCTCCGGGAGAGGAGGAGGAGGAAGGGAAGGATCAGGTGTCGCTTTAGGACCCAGCGGAGCCCCCATGTTGGAGGTAGGAGCTTTTTTTTTTTTCTCGCCCCCCCCCCCCCCCAACCCCCCCCTTCTCATTTTGGAGTTTTTGAGCCTGGAGAGAAGAAACCAAAGCGTTGGGCAAAGGCGAGAGCAGCTCGGTGCACCCAGAGCGGTAAGGAGCCAGCAGAGCCCCAATCCCACACATCCATCCTCCTCAACCTCTCGATGACGGCCCCAAGTGAGGGCCAAAACCCGTTTTTGGGGGGGCTGAAACCCGACTTTTAGGGGGTGGGGGGGGAGAACACGGAAGATGGGAATCTCACCAATGGCTTTGCCAATGTGCTTGGAGGATTTCCAATGGCAGCCCCCAGGGACGGCCCTTGGAGCTGGCGGTGAGGACGGGTTCCCATCGCTTTTTGGGGGCTCCGCAGCGATGCTTTTGGGGGGGGGGGGGGC